ATGATGGATGATGGATGGATGGATGGATGGATGGATGGATGGATGATGGATGGATGGATGGATGGATGGATGGATGGATGCATGGATGGGGTGACCGAGGGACACGCAGGGGGACAGGCGGGGGGTTGGGATGGGCGTGTGACAAATAGCAGTGTGACAAGGGCAGTGACACCATGTCTGTGTTCCCAGTGTCATCATGTCAATGTCACAGGGTCACAGGGTCACAGTGTCACACATGTCACAGTGTCAGTGTCACCAAGTCACGTGTGTCAGTTTCACCGTGTCAGTGTCACAGGGTCATGGTGTCAAAGTGTCACATGTCACAGTGTCAGTGTCATCGGTGTCACCGTGTCAGTGTCACAGGGTCACAGTGTCAGTGTCACCAAATCACACATGTCAGTGTCACAGGGTCACAGTGTCAGTGTCACAGGGTCAGTGTCGTCATTGTCACCGTGTCAGTGTCACAGGGTCAGTGTCAGACATGTCAGTGTCACACTGTCTATGTCACTGGGTCAGTGTCACCGTGTCACTGTCACACATATCAGTGTCACAGGGTCAGTGCCCTCAGTGTCACACATGTGAGTTGTCACAGTGTCAGTGTTATTAGTGTCACCAGGTCAGTGTCAAACATTTGAGTGTCACGAGGTCACCATGTCAGTGTCACAGGGTCACAGTGTCAGTGTCACAGGGTCCGCGCCCTCAGTGTCACACATGTGAATTGTCACAGGGTCAGTGTCACAGTGTCACAGTGTCACTGTGTCAGTGTCACACACGTCACTGTCACCGTGTCAGTGTGTCAGTGTCACACATGTCAGTGTCACAGGGTCAGTGTCAAACATGTCAGTGTCACAGGGTCACAGGGTCGGTGTCACCAAATCACACGTGTCAGTGTCACAGGGTCACAATGTCAGTGTCACAGGGTCAGTGCCCTCAGTGTCACACATGTGAGTTGTCACAGGGTCAGTGTCACAGTGTCACAGTGTCACAGTGTCACTGTGTCAGTGTCACACACGTCACTGTCACCGTGTCAGTGTGTCAGTATCACACATGTGAGTGTCACAGGGTCAGTGTCAAGCATATCAGTGTCACAGGGTCACCATGTCGGTGTCACAGGGTCACCGTGTCAGTGTCAGACTCAGTGTCCCCGTGTCAGTGTCACAGAATCAGTGTCACCGTGTCAATGTCACAAATGTCAGTGTCACAGGGTCACCGTGTCAGTGTCACACTGTCAGTGTCACAGCGTCACCCTGTCAGTGTCACAAATGTCAGTGTCACAGCGTCACCCTGTCAGTGTCACACATGTCAGTGTCACAGTGTCCCCATGTCAGTGTCCCCGTGTCAGTGTCACTATGTCAGTGTCCCCGTGTCAGTGTCACAGTGTCCCCGTGTCAGTGTCCCCGTGTCACTGTCCCCATGTCACAGTGTCCCCCGTGTCCCCAGAGCAGCGCCAGCCTCGAGCCGCTGTGCAAGGGGGACACCTGGTGGTGGCACGGCCTCGTCACAGCCAGCCCCGCCCGGCGACACCGCCCGCGACCGCCACCCGGTGCCACCCGCATGGACACCCAGTGCCACCTCCATGGGACACCCAGTGTCACCTCCATGGGACACCCGGTGCCACCTCCATGGGACACACAGTGCCACCTCCATGGGGACACCCAGTGCCACCCGCATGGGACACACAGTGCCACCTCCATGGGACACACAGTGCCACCTCCATGGGACACCCAGTGCCACTCCCATGGGACACCCAGTGCCACCTCCATGGGACACACAGTGCCACCTGCATGGGGCACCCAGTGTCACCTCCATGGGACACCCAGTGCCACCTGCACGGGACACCCAGTGCCACCTGCATGGGACACCCAGTGCCACTCCCATGGGACACCCAGTGCCACCCGCATGGGGCACCCAGTGTCACCTCCATGGGACACCCAGTGCCACCTGCACGGGACACCCAGTGTCACCTCCATGGGACACCCAGTGCCACCTGCACGGGACACCCAGTGCCACCTGCATGGGACACCCAGTGCCACTCCCATGGGACACCCAGTGCCACCCGCATGGGGACACCCAGTGCCACCTCCATGGGACACACAGTGCCACCTCCATGGGACACCCAGTGCCACCTGCATGGGGACACCCAGTGTCACCTCCATGGGACACCCAGTGCCACCCGCATGGGACACCCAGTGCCACCTACATGGGACACCCAGTGTCACCTCCATTGGACACACAGTGCCACCTCCGTGGGACACCCAGTGCCACCTCCATGGGACACCCAGTGCCACCTCCATGGGACACCCAGTGCCACTCCCATGGGACCCCCCAGTGCCACTCCCATGGGACACCCAGTGCCACCCGCATGGGACACCCAGGGCCACCTCCATGGGACACCCAGTGTCACCTCCATGGGACACCCAGTGTCACCTCCATGGGACACCCAGGGCCACCTCCACGGGGACACACAGTGCCACCTCCATGGGGACACCCAGTGCCACCTCCATGGGACACCCAGTGCCACCCGCATGGGGACACACAGTGTCACCTCCATGGGACACCCAGTGCCACCCGCATGGGACACCCAGGGCCACCTCCATGGGACACACAGTGCCACCTCCATGGGACACCCGGTGCCACCTGCATGGGACACCCAGTGCCACCTCCATGGGACACACAGTGCCACCTCCATGGGACACACAGTGCCACTCCTATGGGACACCCAGTACCACCTCCATGGGACACCCGGTGCCACCTGCATGGGACACCCAGGGCCACCTCCATGGGACACACAGTGTCACCTCCATGGGACACACAGTGCCACTCCCATGGGACACCCAGTGCCACCTCCATGGGGACACCCAGTGCCACTCCCATGGGACACCCAGGGCCACCTGCATGGACACCCAGTGCCACCTCCATGGGACACCCAGTGCCACTCCCATGGGACACCCAGTGCCACCTCCATGGGACACCCAGTGCCACCTGCATGGGACACCCAGTGCCACCTACATGGGACACACAATGCCACCTCCATGGGACACACAGTGTCACCTCCATTGGACACACAGTGCCACCTACATGGGACACCCAGGGCCACCTGCAAGGACACCCAGTGCCCCCTGCATGGGGACACCCAGTGCCACCTTCATGGGACACACAGTGCCACCTGCCTGGGGACACCCAGTGCCACCCGCATGGGACATCCAGTGCCACTCCCATGGGACACCCAGTGCCACCTACATGGGACACCCAGTGCCACCTCCATGGGTCCCTCCATGTCCCCAAATTCCCTGGACAATGTCACCTTTGGGGACACCCTTGATGCCATGGAATTCCGGAATTCCCAGCTCCAACCAGGAATCTCAAAGGTTGGGATGGGGACAGGGCCAGGTGCCACCTCCATGGGCCGGTGTTCCCATGTCCCCAAAATCCTGGGAAAGGCAGGAAAAGGGATCCCAATCCCGGCTGGTGGCTTGGGGCTGGATGGGGCAGCCTTGGGATTGAGGAATCTGAATGGAATCCATGGAATGCTCAGATCCCAGGAATTTCATCCATGGAAAACATTCCTGGAGTGGGGATGACCCAAAAATGGGATCTGGAAATCCCAAATCCATCTGGGATTGAAGTAGGAATACTCAAATCCCAGAAATCCCAGGAATTTATTCCATAGAAAACATTCTTGGAGTGAGGAACACCAAAAATGGGATCTGGGAATCCCAAAAACAATTCCAGGTCAAATCCCAGAAATTTCATCCCTGGAAACATTCCTGGAGTTGGCATGTCCCAAAAATGGGATCTGGGTGTCCCAAATCCATCTGGGATTGAGGCAGGAACACTCAAATCCCAAAAAACCCAGGAATTTAATCCATGGAAACATTTCTGGAGTGAGGAACGCCAAAAATGGGATCTGGGAATCCCAAAAACAATTCCAGGTCAAATGCCAGGAATTTCATCCATGGAAACATTCCTGGAGTGGGGATGACCCAAAAATGGGATCTGGAAATCCCAAATCCATCTGGGATTGAAGTAGGAATACTCAAATCCCAGAAATCCCAGGAATTTAATCCATAGAAAACATTCTTGGAGTGAGGAACACCAAAAATAGGATCTGGGAATCCCAAAAACAATTCCAGGTCAAATCCCAGGAATTTCATCCATGGTAACATTCCTGGAGTGGGGATGACCCAAAAATGGGATCTGGGTGTCCCAAATCCATCTGGGATTGACGCAGGAACACTCAAATCCCAAAAAACCCAGGAATTTAATCCATAGAAAACATTCTTGGAGTGAGGAACGCCAAAAATGGGATCTGGGAATCCCAAAAACAATTCCAGGTCAAATCCCAGGAATTTCATCCATGGAAACATTCCTGGAGTGGGGATGTCCCAAAAATGGGATCTGGGTGTCCCAAATCCATCTGGGATTGAGGAAGGAACACTCAAATCCCAAAAACCCCAGGAATTTAATCCATGGAAAACATTCCTGGAGTGAGGAACCCTGAAAATTGGATCTGAGAATCCCAAATCCAGCCAGGACAAATCCAGGAATTTAATCCATGGAAAACATTCCTGGAGTGAGGAACCCCAAAAATTGGATCTGGGCATCCCAAATCCAGCTGGGATTGAGGCAGGAATGCTCAAATCCCAGAAATGTCAGGAATTAAATCCATGGAAATATTCCTTGGGGTGTCCCAAAAAAACACCGGCATCCGGGATAAAAGCAGAGCCCCGAATTCATTCCCTGTTTTTCTTTAGGACAATCCCACATTCTTTTCCTGGGAAATGGAATTCCCTTTCCCTCTTTCCCGGCAGCCCCGGATTTGTGGGAACGTGGCTGGAACAGGCTCCTCCACCCACGGAATGTGGGAATTTTATCCCTGGGATTTCCCTCATCCCTGAAACGCTTGATGGGTGCCAGGAGCAGGGAGCAGGGAAAGATTTGATCCCAAAATTCCCGATTTTCCCTCTGCTCAGGATGGACTGGGAAAAGCAAGGCTGAAATTTATCCTGGAGCAAATTTATTGAGGGGAAGCATTAAAAAAACGGGATTTTATCCCTCATTACATTGGGAAATGGACCCAAATCCCAATCCCAATCCCAATCCTGAGGAATTCCCTGCTCCAACTGCTGGGGGGGATCCCAGAGGGGGATTTGGGGCCGCTCCGGAACACCAGAGGCTCAGTCCAGGAATAAATTTGGGATTGGCCAAGAAGAGGAAAGCCCAAGCGGAATTCTGGGAATGGGAATTGCGGGATGATCCACTGGGACGTCAGCACGGCTCCGGTGTCACCGTCACCACCACGGTGTCCTCGTCGCTGTCGTCTGAGCTGCAGATGATGATGCTGCCGCCCTCTGAAATGGAAATCCCAAAAAAATTCCGGATCCCACGGGATCAACGTTCCCGAGATTTGCACCCGGAACCAACCCCTGGAATGGCGGTGACTCCGTGGATCCTGAATTCCAGGGATCCTTCATCCCACGGATTATGAATTCCATGGATTCCAAATTCTATGGTTCCTTCACCCCATGGATCCCTCATCCCATGGATCCTGAATTCCATGGATCCTTCATCCCATGGTTCCTTTATCCCATGGATCCCTCACCCCGTGGATCCCTGACCCCATGGATCCCTCGTCCCATGGATCACTCATCCCATGGATCCCTCACCCCACAGATCCTGAATTCCATGATTCCTCATCCAGTGGTTCCCTCACCCCATGGATCACTCATCCCATGGATTTTTCACCCCATGGATCCCTCACCCCACAGATCCTGAATTCCATGGATCCCTCATTCCATGGAGCCCTCATCCCATGGATCCCCCATCCCATGGATCCTGAATTCCATGGATTCCTCACCCCATGGATCCCTCATCCCACAGATCCTTCATCCCATGGATCCCTCACTCCATGGATCACTCATCCCATGGATCTTTCATCCCATGGATCCCCCATCCCATGGATCCCCCATCCCATGGATCCCTCATTCCATGGATCCCCCATCCCACAGATCCCTCACCCCACGGATCCTGAATTCCATGGATCCCTCATTCCATGGATCCCTCATCCCATGGATGATGAATTCCACAGATCCTTCACCCCATGGATCCCTCATCCCATGGTTCCTTCATCCCACAGATCCCTCATCCCACAGATCCCTCAGCCCATGGATCCTGAATTCCATGGATCCCTCACCCCATGGATCCCTCATCCCACAGATCCTTCATCCCATGGATCCCTCACCCCACAGATCCTGAATTCCATGATTCCTCATCTGGTGGTTCCCTCACCCCATGGATCACTCATCCCATGGATCTTTCATCCCACGGATCCCTCATCCCATGGATCCCCCATCCCATGGATCCCTCATCCCATGGATCCCTCATTTCATGGATCCCTCATCCCACAGATCCCTCACCCCACGGATCCTGAATTCCATGGATCCCTCATTCCATGGAGCCCTCATCCCATAGATCCCTCATCCCATGGATGATGAATTCCACAGATCCTTCACCCCATGGATCCCTCACCCCATGGATCCCTCATCCCATGGTTCCTTCATCCCACAGATCCCTCATCCCAATGATCCCTCCCCTGTGGATCCCTCATCCCACGGATCCTTCATCCCATGGATCCCTCACCCCATAGATCCTGAATTCCATTATCTCTTACCCCATGGATCCTTTAGACCAGGGTCCCTCGCTCCATGGATCACTCATTCCATGGATCCTTCATCCCATGGATCCCTCACCCCACAGATCCTGAATTCCATGATTCCTCATCCGGTGGTTCTCTCACCCCATGGATCACTCATCCCATGGATTTTTCATCCCACAGATCCCTCATCCCATGGATCCCCCATCCCATGGATCCCTCATTCCATGGATCCCTCACCCCACAGATCCTGAATTCCATGATTCCTCATCCGGTGGTTCTCTCACCCCATGGATCACTCATCCCATGGACCTTTCATCCCACGGATCCCTCATCCCATAGATCCCCCACCCCATGGATACCTCATTTCATGGATCCCTCATTCCATGGATTCCTCATCCCACAGATCCCTCACCCCACGGATCCTGAATTCCATGGATCCCTCATTCCATGGAGCCCTCATCCCATAGATCCCTCATCCCATGGATCCCTTATTCCATGGATCCCTCATCCCATGGATGATGAATTCCACAGATCCTTCACCCCATAGATCCCTCATCCCATAGATCCCTCATCCCATGGATCCCTTATTCCATGGATCCCTCATCCCACGGTTCCTTCATCCCACAGATCCCTCATCCCAGTGATCCCTCCCCCGTGGATCCCTCATCCCACAGATCCCTCATCCCAATGATCCCTCCCCCATGAATCCCTCATCGCACGGATCCCTCATCCCATGAATCCCTGAATCCCATGGATCTGCACCATCCCCATCCGAGGCCGGGAATGGGGGCACAGAAGGGAGGGATCCCAGGGGATGGGACACGCGGGATAACGGGAACGGGGCCGCTCCCGGTGCCCACCGGCGTCGCCGGCGCGGGCGCAGTTGTGCGGTGCCGCCGAGGGGCCGGGCTGCGTCGGGAATTCCCAGCGGGATTTGGGATTGCTGGGGCCCGGCTCGTGGTCGCATTCCAGCTTCAGGATCTTGGGGGACACCTGGCTGCCCCGCTCCACCGCAGGCTGCGGCCGCGACGTCCAGCAGCACAGTGGGACCGGCTGGAAAAGCGGGATCGGGATCGGCGGGGGATCGGGGATGGGGTTGGCGTGGGATTGGGGTTGGGGTGGGATTGGGGTGGGATCAGGATTGGAGTGGGATTGGGATTGAGGTGGGATCAGGGTGGGATTGGGATCGGGATTGGGGTGGGATCAGGGTGGGATTGGGATCGGGATTGGGGTGGGATTGGGGTGGGATCGGGATTGGAGTGGGATTGGGGTGGGATCGGGATTGGGGCTGGAGTGGGATTGGGATTGGCATTAGGGTGGGATCAGATTTGGGATGGGATTGGGGTGGGATTGGAATTGGGATGGAATCAGGACTGGGACTGGGATTGGAATTGGGATAAGGATTGGGATTGGGGTGGGATTGGGATTGGTATTGGTGTGGGATTGGGATTGGGGTAGGATTGGGATTGGGGTTGGGATGTGGATTGGGGTAGGATTGGGATGGTATTGCGATGGAAATTGAGACTGGGATGGGATTGGGATGGGATTGGAGTGGGATTGGAATTGGGATGGAATCGGGACTGGGACTGGGATTGGAATTGGGATAAGGGTTGGGATTGGGGTGGGATTGGGGTAGAATTTGGATTGGGGTAGAATTTGGATTGGGATTGGGATGTGGATTGGGGTAGGATTGAGATGGTATTGCGATGGAAATTGAGACTGGGATGGGTTTGGAGTGGGATTGGGATGGGATTGGGGTGGGAACACGTGGATCCCAGCGGATCCCCCCTGGAAGGGATGGATGGGCCTCACCTGCCCCACGTGGATCTCCTCCAGGCTGGGGGAGACGCTGTGGGCTTTGGGGTGGGCTGGATCCTCTTCCTGCAGGAAGAGCAGGGAGTTAGGATGGGAACACCCTCGGGAATGGGGAAACTGAGGCACGGGGGGTTTGGGGTGGGTCTGGGTGCCATGTTAAGGAATTCCCCGTACAGTGCCTGGTGGGATGTGGGAATTTGTGGGGGAGGAAAGCCCGGGAATACCGGGATGGGGAGGGAACGGAGAGGTGCAGGTTTGGGATGGGGCAGGAGCACCCCGATATCTCACCAGGTTGTTCTCCAGGGCCACCTCAACCTCGGGGACATCTGGGGATGGAGAAAACCGGGATGAGATCCCGAGCCGGAGCCTCCGGAGCTGGGAAAATCCCGCTCAGCAGCTCCGAAGCCCTTCCCTCAGACTGGGGTGGCCCCGGGGGCTTGGGAGGCTCCGGAGAGCTGGGAATGAGCGTCCCCAGAGCCACCGGGATTGGGGACACCCAGAGGGGCTCCACAAAAACCACGGAGCAAATCCGGGCTCGGGGGAGAGGAGCCGGAGCAGGGAAATGGGGAGAGCAGCTGGAGAACAAGGAGAAGGGAAGGAGGAGGAGGAGGAGGAAAAGGGGAAGAAGGAGAAGAAAAAGGAGGAGAAGGAAGAACAAAAAGAAGAAGAGGAAGAAGGAGGAGGGGGAAGAGGAGGAGGAGGAAGAGGAGAAAGAAGGAGAGAAAGAAAAAGGTGAAAACTAAAACTAAAACTAAAACTAAAAAAAAATTAAAAGAAAAAGAAAAAGAAAAAGAAAAAGAAAAAGAAAAAGAAAAAGAAAAAGAAAAAGAAAAAGAAAAAGAAAAGAAAAAGAAAAAGAAAAATTAAAAGAAAAAGAAAAGAAAAAGAAAAAGAAAAAGAAAAAAAAAAAGACAAAAAAAAAGAAAAAGAAAAAGAAAAAAAAAAGAAAAAGAAAAAGAAAAAGAAAAAGAAAAAGAAAAAGAAAAAGAAAATGACAAAGACAAAGAAAAAGAAAAAGTAAAAAGAAAAAGAAAAAGAAAAAGAAAAAGAAAAAGAAAAAGAAAAAGAAAAAGAAAAAGAAAAAGAAAAAGAAAAAGAAAGGAGAAGGAGAAGGAGAAGGAGAAGGAGAAGGAGAAGGAGAAGGAGAAGGAGAAGGAGAAGGAGAAGGAGAAGGAGAAGGAGAAGGAGAAGGAGAAGGAGAAGGAGAAGGAGAAGGAGAAGGAGAAGGAGAAGGAGAAGGAGAAGGAGAAGGAGAAGAAGGAGAAGGAGAAGGAGAAGGAGAAGGAGACAAAGAAGAAGAATCCAGTGCTGCCCCTGCTCTCAGAGGGCGCTTTGCAGCCAGCCGAGCCCTGTGCTCCCTCCCCATCCCATCCCATCCCATCCCATCCCATCCCATCCCATCCCATCCCGTCCCGTCCCGTCCCGTCCCGTCCCGTCCCGTCCCATCCCATCCCGTTATCCCGTTATCCCATTATCCCATCCCTGACCTGGCCGCCCCGTGACGCGCTCCACCAGCGCCCGCAGCCGCGCCCGGCACTGGGCGAAGTCGGCCGGCTCCCGGAGCTTGGGGGGCTCGGGCGGCCGCAGCCGCCGCAGCTCCAGCAGCGCGCCCTTGACGAAGGGCTGCATGTCCATCAGCTCCTGCTCGCCGCCGTAGCGGCCCAGCCTGTCCACCAGCCGCTCGGCCGCCTCCAGCCGCAGCAGCGTCGCCTCGGCGCCCCGCAGCTCCTCCGCCAGCGCGCCGCGGTGACCGCGCTGCGGCCGCGCCTCCAGCAGCGCCTGCAGCTCCTCGGCCTCGCTGCGCACCAGCTCCTGCAGCCGCTCGGCGCTGGCGCGGACGCGCTCCCGCAGCCGCTCCCGCTGCTCCTCCTGCCGGGCCGCCTCGCCCCGCAGCCGCGCCAGGGCCGCCTCAAAGGCACGTCGGAGACACCGCATGTCGCGGCGCAGCGAGCGCAGCTCGTCCTGGCGCCGGCGGCTCTCGGCGCGCAGGTCGCGGAACGGAGCGTGGCCGGTGTCCAGCAGCGCGCACGGACAGCACAGCGCCCGCTCGCAGCGCGGGCAGTAGATGCTGCCGGGGGACACGCGGCGGGTGTCAGGGAGAGGTGGTGGCACGAGGGGTGACAGCGCGGCCGCAAGGGGTGGGGACGGCAGAGTGGATGCGGGGTACCGGGATTGGCTCCCGGGATGGACACAGGGCAGGGATGGACACAGGGCAGGGATGGACATGGGGGCAGGGATGGACACAGGGCAGGGATGGACATGGGGGCAGTGATGGTCAGGGGTCAGGGATGGTCAGTGGTCAGTAGTCAGGGGTCAGGGATGGTCAGTGGTCAGGGGTCAGGGATGGTCAGTGGTCAGGGATGGTCAGGGGTCAGTGATGGTCAATGATCAGTGATGGTCAGTGGTCAGTAGTCAGGGGTCAGGGATGGTCAGTGGTCAGTGATGGTCAGTGGTCAGTAGTCAGGGGTCAGTGATGGTCAGTGGTCAGTAGTTAGGGGTCAGGGATGGTCAGTGGTCAGTGATGGTCAGGAGTCAGGGATGGTCAAGGGTCAGGGATGGTCAGTGGTCAGTAGTCAGGGGTCAGGGATGGTCAGTGGTCAGTAGTCAGGGGTCAGGGATGGTCAGTGGTCAGGGATGGTCACTGGTCAGGGATGGTCAATGATCAGTGATGGTCAGTGATCAATAGTCAGGGGTCAGGGATGGTCTGTGGTCAGTGATGGTCAGTGGTCAGTGATGGTCAGTGATGGTCAGGGGTCAGTGATGGTCACTGGTCAGGGATGGTCAGTGGTCAGTGATGGTCACTGGTCAGGGATGGTCAGTGGTCAGTGATGGTCAGTGGTCAGTGATGGTCAGTGGTCAGGGATGGTCAGTGGTCAGTGATGGTCAGTGGTCAGGGATGGTCAGTGGTCAGTGATGGTCAGTGGTCAGGGGTGAGTGATGGTCACTGGTCAGTGATAGACAGCAGTTGGGGATTTGGGGACAGGACGGGATTTGGGGACAGGAGGGGATTTTGGGGACAGGACGGGATTTTGGGTACTGGATGAGATTCGGGTACAGGATGAGATTTGGGGACTGTGTGACATTTTGGGACAGGATTCCAGGCTGAAGCATCACCCCCCAAACCTCCTGGAGCAGGGCGGGATTTGGGGGCAGGACGAGGTTTGGGGACAGGATGAGATTTGGGGACAGTGTGAGATTTTGGGGACAGGATGAGATTTGGGGACAGGATGAGATTTGAGGATGTGGGACATTTGGGAGCAGGGTGACATTTGGGGACAGGATGAGATTTGGGGACAATATTAGTTTTGGGGACAGGATGAGATTTGGGGACAGAACGAGGTTTGAGGATAGGATGAGACTTGGGGATGGGATGAAGTTTGGGAATGGGATGAGATTTGAGGATGGGATGAAGTCTGGGGACAGGATGAGATTTGGGGACAAGATCTGGGGCCATGGCAATGTCTGGGGACAGGCCAAGGTGTGGGGACAGCGTGAGATTTGAGGACAGGACGAGGTTTGGGGCCAGGACAAGATTTGGTACCAGGACAAGATTTGGAGCCAGGACAAGATATGGAGCCAGAACAAGATTTGGGGCCAGGATGTTTGGTACCAGGACAAGATTTGGATCTAGGATGAAGTTTTGGGGCCAGAACAAGATTTGGGGCCAGGATATGGTTTGAGGACGGGACAAGATTTGGGGCCAGGGTGAAATTTGGGGACAGGATGAGGTTTGAGGACGGGACAAGATTTGGGGCCAGGACAAGCTTTGGGACCAGGGTAAGATTTGGTACCAGGACAAGATCTGGGGCCAGGACAAGATTTGGTGCTAGGATGAGGTTTGGGAACAGGACAAGATTTGGGGCCAGGAGAAGATCCAGGGCCAGGGTGACATTTGGGGCCAGGACAAGATTTGGTACCAGGACAAGATCTGGGGCCAGGACAAGATTTGGGGCCAGGACAAGATTTGGGGCCAGGACAAGATTTGGTACCAGGACAAGATTTGGGGCCAGGACAAGATTTGGGGCCAGGACAAGATCTGGGGCCAGGACAAGATTTGGGGCCAGGACAAGATCTGGGGCCAGGACAAGATTTGGGGCCAGCACAAGATCTGGAGCCAGGACGAGGTTTCAGGATGGGACAAGCTTTGGGGCCAGGACTAGATCTGGGGCCAGGAGGAGATTTGGGGTCACGCCCGCAGTGGGGTCTGTCCCGAGGCGCTCCCACCTGCAGACGCGGCTCTCCTCGGGGTGGCTGGCGCTGGAGCAGAAGAGGCTGCAGGAGCCGCGCGTGTCCTCCAGGAACTGCCGCGCCGATCCCGCCCGCAGCTCCTCCACCCTGCGCACCCTGTGCGCCTTCTTCTTGTGCCACCACTGGTGCTCCTCCAGGCAGCGCCCGCACAGGAACTCCTCGCACTCCTGGCACCAAACCAGCGCCGCCTCGGCTCGGCAGCGGCCGCAGCCGGGCCCGCCGGCGCTGCGGATCTGCCGCCAGAGCTGCAGGCGGCTCCGCAGGTTGCAGAAGAGCAGGTTGTCCACGGCGGGCGCGGGCACGGCCGCCTGGCAGCGCGGGCACTGCTTGGTGTCGCTCAGGCACGCCGGGCACAGCGTGTGCAGGCAGCGCAGCAGCCGCGGCTGCGCCGAGTCCTGCCCGCAGCCGTCGCAGCGCAGGAATTGGAAATCCTCATCGTCTTCATCCTCATCCTCGCCCTCCGCGGGGTGGTGGTGAGGCGAGGCCGGTACCAGGGTGCCGGTGGCGGGGCACGGTTCTGGCTGCAGCTCCGGTGCCGCTTCTTCCTCCGGTTCCGTCTCCATTTGGAGGGATGCGCCCCTGGGATGGAGGAAGTTTGGGGTCGGACCTACAAATCCCGCTCGGGGCTCTGCGGTCCCGCCTCTCGCTCCTTCTTCAATCCCACCCTCCCCGAGCTCTCGATCTTCCCGGAATCCGAGATTCCCGAGCGCCGGTGGAAGTGAAAGTAAAACGGGTTTGGTGCCGTCATCGCCACCGCCCCTTCCTGCCGTGACAGAGGGAGGAAAAAGCCGGGACACTCCCGCAGAGACCCCCACACCCCTCCCGGCAGTGACCCCAAAACCCCCTTTGCAGCAACCCCAAAACCTCCCTGGCAGCGACCCCAAAACCCCCTTGGCAGCGACCCCAAAACCCGCTTGGCAGCGAGCCCAAAACCCGCTTGGCAGCGACCCCAAAACCCGCTTGGCAGCGACCCCAAAACCCCCTTGGCAGCGACCCCAAAACCTCCCTGGCTGAGACCCCAAAACCCCCTTGGCTGAGACCCCAAAACCTCCCTGGCTGAGACCCCAAAACCCCCTTGGCAGCGACCCCAAAACCCGCTTGGCAGCGACCCCAAAACCCGCTTGGCAGTGACCCCAAAACCCCCTTGGCTGAGACCCCAAAACCCCCTTGGCAGCGACCCCAAAACCTCCCTGGCTGAGACCCCAAAACCCCCTTGGCAGCGACCCCAAAACCCCCTTGGCTGAGACCCCAAAACCCTCTTGGCTGAGACCCCAAAACCCCTCGGCATCGACCCCAAAACCAAGGGACCCCCTTCCCACCCCGCCCTAAAAACGCACCCGGCCCCTCTCCCCGGGCAGGGGCTCCGGTTTGTCCCCGGGTCCCCCCCCCCGTGTCCCCGGTTTGTCCCCGGGTCCCCCCCCCGTGTCCCCGGTTTGTCCCCGGGTCCCCCCCCCGTGTCCCCGGTTTGTCCCCGGGTCCCCCCCCCGTGTCCCCGGTTTGTCCCCGGTTTGTCCCCGGGTCCCTCCCGGTACCTGCGCGGCGCGGCGGGGACGGGAGCGGGGAGAGGGAGGGACAGGGAGGGGACAGGGAGGGGACACGGAGGGGACACGGAGGGGACAGGGAGGGGACACGGAGGGGACAGGGAGGGGACAGGGAGGGGACACGGAGGGGACAGGGAGGGGACACGGAGGGGACAGGGAGGGGACACGGAGGGCGGAGCTGTGAGGCGGTGCCCGGGAATGCAGGGACCGGGATGGGGATTTGGGATCGGAATTTGGGATCAAGATGTGGGATCGGGATGTGGGATCAGGATGGGGAAGTGGGGCCGGGATTTGGGACTGGAATTTGGGATCAGGTTGTGGGACCGGGATGGGGTTTTGGGACTGGGATGGGGATTTGGGACTGGGATGGGCATTTGGGATCAGGATGGGAATTTGGGATCGGGGTGGAGATGTGGGATCGGGATTTGGGATGCAGGGATGGGGAGCAGGATATGGGATCAGGATGGGGACTCTGGGACCGGGATGGGGATTTGGGACTGGGATGGAGACTGGGATAGGGATGTGGGATTGGGATGGGGATGTAGGATTGGAATAGGTATTCTGGGACTGGGAGGGGATTTGGGATCGGGATGTGGGATGGGGATATGGGATTGGGATATGGGATTGGGGTAGGGATTGTGGGGCTGGAAGGGGATTTTGGGATCGGCTGTGGGATCGGGAAGGGGATCCCGGCCCCGGGAAGGCGCTGCCGGTGCCGTGGGGCGGTTCCGGTGGCCGAGCCCTGGGCCCGGTGTCCCCGCCTGGGGCCGTGACAGCCCCGCCCTGCCCGGAGGGACATCCCCGGCCCCAATCCCGGCCCCATTCCCGCCCCAATCCCGGCCCCATTCCCACCCCAATCCTGGCCCCATTCCCACCCCAATCCCACCCCAATCCCAGCCCCATTCCCGCCCCAATCCTGGCCCCATTCCCACCCCAATCCTGGCCCCATTCCCGCCCCAATCCCACCCCAATCCCGGCCCCATTCCCACCCCAATCCCGGCCCCATTCCCGCCCCAATCCCGGTCCCATTCCCACCCCAATCCCGGCCCCAATCCCGGCCCCATTCCCACCCCAATCCCGGCCCCATTCCCACCCCAATCCCGGCCCCATTCCCACCCCAATCTCGGCCCCAATCCCGGCCCCATTCTCACCCTAATCCCGGCCCTATTCCCACCCCAATCCCGGCCCCATTTCTGACCCTATTCCCACTCTGATCCCAGCCCCATTCCCGGCCCCATTCCCGGCCCCATTCCCACCCCACCCCTCCCTTCCCGCCCCCCCAGGGGTGGTGGCACCGCCACAAGACCGGGACGGGGACTTTGGGGACAAACCCCTTGTGCCATCCCATTTGGGGCGGGGCTGCCCCGATCCCAGATCCCCATCCCAAATCCCAGATCCCGATCCCAAATCCCCACGGTCCCAAATGCTGATCCCAAATGCCGATCCCAAATCCCCACGGTCCCAATTCCCTATCCCAGATCCCGATCCCAAATGCCGATCCCAAATCCCCGCGGTTCCAAATCCCCATCCCAAATCCCCATCCTAAATCCCCATCCCAAATGCCGATCCAAATTCCCATCCTAAATCCCGATCCCAAATTCCCATCCTAAATCCCGATCCCAAATCCCAAATCCCGATCCCAAATCCCAAATCCCAAATCCCCGTTCCCGATCCCAAACCCGCTCACCGGGCCGGGCTGGTCACGTGTGGCGGCCACCAGGAAGCGCCACCGCGGCTCTTTCCTGTCCCCAACCCCGCTCCGGCGACATCGCCACCTGCCCGCGGGCCGGGGACACCGCTGGGATTGGCACCCGGGGTGGCACCGCTGGGATTGTCACCTGAGGTGGCACTTGGGGTGGCACCGCTGGGATTGTCACCTGAGATGGCACCACTGGAATTTGTCACCTGAGGTGGCACCACTTGGGTTTGTCACCAGAGATGGCACCTGAGGTGACACCACTTGGATTTGTCCCCTGAGGTGACACCCGAGGTGGCACCACTCAGATTTGTCACCTGGGGTGACACTGCTCGGGTTTGTCACCTGTGGAGCTACCCCAGGTGCCATCACTAGGATTTGTCACCTGAGGTGGCACTTGGGGTGGCACTGCTCGGATTTGTCACCTGAGATGGCACCACTGGAATTTGTCACGTGAGGTGGCGCCACTTGGATTTGTCACCTGAGGTGGCACCTGGGGTGGCACTGCTCGGATTTGTCCCCTGAGGTGGCACCCGAGGTGGCACCACTTGGATTTGTCACCCGAGATGGCACCCGAGGTGACTCCACTCGGATTTGTCCCCTGCGGTGGCACCTGAGGTGGCACCACTCAGATTTGTCACCTGAGGTGACACTGCTCGGATTTGTCACGTGAGATGGCACCACTGGAATTTGTCACCTGAGGTGGCACCACTTGGGTTTGTCACCAGAGGTGGCACCTGGAGGACACCGCTCGGGTTTGGCACCAGAAGTGGCACCTGGGGTGGCGCTGCTCGGATTTGTCCCCTGAGGTGGCACCCGAGGTGACACCACTTGGATTTGTCACCTGGGGTGACACCCGAGGTGACACCACTCGGATTTGTCCCCTGCGGTGGCATCTGAGGTGGCACCACTCAGATTTGTCACCTGGGGTGACACCGCTCGGGTTTGTCACCTGAGGTGGCACCACTCAGATTTGTCACCTGGGGTGACACTGCTCGGGTTTGTCACCTGAGGTGGCAGCAAAAACCCCAAAATTATTCCCTCAATCCTCAGCCCAGGTGACCCCAAACCCTGCCCCGGTGTCCCCTGAGTGCCACCACCCCGGTGACCCCAAACTCTGTCCCCAGTGACCCCAAATCCTCAAATGTCACCACCCAGTGACCCCAAATCCTCGAGTGGCACCTGACCCCAGTGACCCCAAACCCTTCAATGGTGTCCCTCCAGTGTCCCCACCCCAGGTGACCCCAAACCCCATAAGGGTCAGCATTGGGATCCCAGGATTCCATGGGATTTGCTCCATTTGGGCTCATATTCCCGACCCCAAAAATTCCCAGTTTGGGAATCCCAAAATTCCCGGTGATCCCATGGGATCCTCCTCGGGATCGGGATCCCAGAATTCTGTGGGATCGCTTTGGGGTCGCATTCCCAACCCCAAAAATTCCCAGTGATCCCATGGGATTCTCCTTGGGAACATCAGGATCGGGATCCCGGAATTCCTTGGGATTGGCCCCATTTGGGGTCCTGTTCCCAGCCCCAAAATTCCCAGTTTGGGAATCCCAGAATTCCTGGCGATCCCATGGGATCCTCCTTGGGATTTGGATCCTGGAATTCCCTGGGATTGGCCCATTTGGGGTCACATTCCCAACCCCAAATATTCCCAATGATCCCGTGGGATCGTCTTTGGGAATGTCAGGATCGGGATCCCGGAATTCCCTGGGATTGGCCCCTTTTGGGGTCACATTCCCGACCCCAAAATTTCCCGGTGATCCCATGGGATCCTCTTTGGGAATAGCAGGATCGGGATACCGGAATTCCCTGGGATTGGCATCCCAAAATTCTGTGGGATCAGCTGTCACATTCCCAACCCCAAAATTCCCATTTTGGGAATCCCAAAATTTCTGGGGATCCTCCTTGGGATTGGGATCCCAAAATTTGTGGGATTTGCCCCATTTGGGGTTCTGTTCCCAACCCCAAAATTCCCAGTTTGGGAATCCTGGAATTCCATGGGATTGGCTCCTTTGGGGTCACATTCCCAACCCTAAAAATTCCCGGTGATCCCATGGAATCCTCCTGCTCCCAGCCGGAATTCCCATGGAAAATCCCGATCCAGAGCAGGAAATCCTCGCTCCAGGAGCCATTCCCGGAATATTCCCAAATATCCCAAATGGACGCCCCCAAATTCCTGGGAATTTGCAGGAAAAATGAGAATTCTGGGATCCCAAATCCCAAAAATCCAATTATTCCTGGAAAAATTCCGGGATCCCAAATCCCAGTTTGGGATTGGGAAAAATGGGAATTCTGGGATGCCAAATCCCAAAAATCCAATTTTTCCTGGAAAAATTCCGGGATCCCAAATCCCAATTCCAGGATCCCAAATCCCAAAAATCCAATATTCGGAATTCCAGATCCCAAATCCCAAAAATCCAAATTTTCCCGGATTTTTTGCCCTTGGAAAAGCGGGAAGAGCTCAGAATTCTCACCGAGATTTGGGATCAGCTTTTTTCCAGTGGGAAAATCCCAGGAAAAGGAGGAAATTTGGGATCCTGGATGGGATTTTTCCAGGTTTTTCCTGCCTTGGGAGCTCCCTGATCCCAAAAATCCCAGGAATACCTCTGGAATCAGACCCCCCTCTCCAGCCAGGATTTTTTTCCTGGAAAAATTGGAATTTTTTTCCTCTGGGAAAAGGGAAAAACTCTTCCCAAATTCCCATTTTCCCATGGATTTTTTTCCCCATTTTTTGGAAAATCCGGGAATGGGAACGAATCCAGGGCCGGTTTTTTGGGAAAAAAATCCCAGTTTGGGATGAGAGAAAAGCGGGAATTTCACCCCCGGGAATTCCGAGCCCTGCTCCAAGGATTGTTTGGAATTCTCGGATCCCGGCAGGATAAACAATCCTTGGAATTCCTGCGCCTGGAATTCCCTCCCCCAATCCCAAAAGCGCCCCCGAAATTCCCTTTTTCTGCTTTTTCCCCCTTTTTTTATGGGATTTTTGGGTTTTCCCCCAAATCCCGGGATTCTGCAGGGGCTGGGCAAGGAAAAATTTGGGAATTCTGGAGCAAATTCTGGGGTTTTTCATGGATTTGGGGTTTTTCTCCCCTTGGATTTGGGATTTCTGGAAAACTGGGAATTGTGGGATCGTCTCAGCTGGAATTTTTTTGGGATGAGATTCCAAGAGGGATTTGGGATTTCTTCCCCAAATCCCAAATCCCTTCCCAGGCCCCAAATCCTCATGGATTCCTTCCCAATCCAGTTTTTTGGGGGGTTTTTTTTGGGATCATCCCTTGGGGTTTTTTTTTTGGGATCATCCCTTGGGGTTTTTTTGGGATCATCCCTTGGGAATTTTTTTGGGGATATCCCTTGGTAGTTTTTTTTGGGATAATCCCTCGGGTTTTTTTGGGATCCAGAGAAATTTTGATCCTAAAAACTCAGGAAGAGCCCAAATCCATGAGGGAAAACCCCAAAAAAATCCAGGATGAGGAAAAACCTTTGGGATTCCCACAGCTCCTGGAATTCCTGGGATTAAAACTCAATTTTTAGGGAAAATAGGATGAGGAAAAAAAAACCTGGATTTGCTTTCCCAGCCTTTTGGAAATTCCCAAAAAATCCCTCCCCAGTTTTTCCCAGGAAATCAAAAATCCCCTTTTCCCTGTGGATCCCCCCCCAAAAATTCCCAAAATTTTCCCCTCTGGATCCATCCCGAGGGATTTTTCCCAAAAATCCCCAAAAAATCGCGGAGTTTTCTGGGATGAGGAATCCTTGAATCCAAGGATTTTCGCCCCTCGCTTTCGGAATTCCCGGAATTCCCGATTATCTCCCTGACGCAGGAGCTCAGCCTCTGGAATTCCGGGAATTTCCGCACCGCTTCCAAAGGATTTTAAACAAAAATCCCCCAAAAATCCCCCAAAAACCCCCACAAAAATCGGGATTCGACCCCTGGAAACAGCAGAGGGGTCGATGCGGATCCATGAAATTTTTTGGGAATGTTGAGTCGGTCCAAAATCCCGGGAATTCCTTTGGGATCGATGCCAAGAATTCTTTTTTGGGAAAAAAAAAAATCCCAAATCCGGGGGGATTTTTCTAAGGAAAAAGGGGGATAGGGGGACAGAAATTCCATAAAAATTCCATTTAAAATAAAATTACATTTTAAAAAAATCAATTTAAAAGAATTTTATTCTTAAAACTCCATTAAAGTCCATTTTCAAAAATTCCATTAAAAATCCATTAAAATTCCACTTTAAAAAAAATTCTGCACAAAAAATTCCATTAAAATTCCATTAAAAATAATTCCATACGAAAAAAAAAATCCATAAAAATCTTTTTTTTTTAATTCCATTAAAAAATCCATAAAATTCCATTCTAAAAATCCATAAAAATTCAATTTAAAAAATCCATTAAAATTCCATTTAAAACAAAAATCCATACCAAAAATATTCCATAAAAATCCATTTTTTAAAATTCCATTTTAAAAATCCTTTTTGAAAATCTATAAAAATTCCATTTAAAAAAATCCCCATGCAAAAAAAAAATTCATTTAAAAATTAATTTTCAAAAAATCCATTTTAAAATTCCATTACAAAAAATAATTCCATAAAAAATCCATTTAAAATCCATTTAAAATCCATAAAAAATCCATAAAAAATCCATTAAAAATCCATAAAAATCCATTAAAAATCCATTAAAAATCCATTAAAAAACGGGATTGGGATAACAAAGGGAATTAAATAACCCCAGAAAAATCAGGAAAAAAAATTTGGGAATGAGCCTGGAAAATTGATGGGATAAATTTTTGGGAATGGGGGAATTTTGGCTGGAATTAGGGGTGACAGTGACCCCCACCCCCAAATCCCATTTTATTTTTGGGATGGAACGAGGGGAAAACAAAGCCCCGGGATGATCCCTGGAATTGGGAATCCCGGGAAAAGCCGAGCCTTGGATGAGGATTTTTGGGAATTTGGATCGTGGTGAATGATGGAAATCCCAAAAATTCCCACATTTCCCCAATTCCAGGGATGATCCCAAACCCCTGGATGAGGAATTTGGGGGGATCCCACATTTTATCCCAAAAAAAAAGAAGGAATTTTGGCTCCTGGGCTTGGAATTTTGGGGTCATGGGTGATCCCAAACCCTTTGGATGTGCAAATCCTGGGTTTTTTTGGGATATAATTTAGGATCTTCCCCCATTCCCAAAAATCCTCATCCAAAACTCTGGGATCCCGAATTCTAGGGATAATCCCTCATCCTAGACCGAAGGAAAAATGGGATTTGGGTTTGGATCGTGGGGAATGATGGAAACCCCAAAAATTCCCGCATTTCCCCCAATTCCGGGATAATCCCAGGCCTTTGTTTTCCCCTCGTTCCATCCCAAAAATAAAATGGGATTTTGGGGCGGGGGGGGGGTCGCTGTCACCCCTAATTCCAGCCAAAATTCCTTCTTTTTTTTGGGATGGAACAAGAGGAAATCAAAGCCCTGGAATGATCCCTGGAATTGGGGGAAATGCGGGAATTTTGGGGGTTTATGCCATTCCCCATGATCCAAATCCCATTTTTTAGGGGACAGACCGTTCTCCCCCCAACTCCTCATCCCAAAATTCCAGATGCCTTTGGGATCGCGCCTGGAATTCGGGATTCGGGAAGCAGCGGAGCCTCGGCTCGCTCCTTATCAGCGCCGAGCCCAAACAATTCCCGCAGCGCGCGGCTCCGCGGCTCCTTTTTGGGATAAACAATTCCCAAAAAATCCGCCGGCATCGCTCCCCCCGAGCCTCGGCACCCCGGAAATGACGGGAAACGCTCGGGGGGCGCCCTTGGAATTCCAAAGGGGGGGTGGGGAGGGGGAGCTGGGCCAATTCCCAGCGGGATAAAAACCGGGAGCGAAGCGCCGCGCTGGCAATTCCAGGGATTTTCCGGGATGCGCTCCCAAATCCGCCTCCTCCTGGCGCTGCTCTGCGCGTTCCCCGCGGCGGCGGCGCCTCCTCCGTGGGACAGGGTGTGGGGAGACGCCAATCCTTGGGAATGGGGGGAGGAGCGGCCGAATTCCCGGCCGAATTCCCGGCCGAATTCCCGGCCGAATTCCCGGCCGCGGGCGCCGGTGGAGGTGCAGTGCCGGGAGGCGCGGCTGGAGGTCACCGTGCACCGGGATCTGTTCGGGAACGGGCGCCTGGTCAGCGCGGCCGAGCTCAGCCTGGGCCCCGCCGCCTGCAAACATTCCCGCCTGGATCCATCCCAAAAAACCGTCACCTTCAGCGCCGGCCTGCACGAGTGCGGCAGCACCGTCCAGGTGAGCCCCGCCTCTCCTTCCCGTCGGGATTCCCGCCGGGATTCCCACCGGGAGCGGCTCCCGGGTGTGCGGATTCCCGGCTTTGAGTCCCGTTCCCATCCCGGAATTCCCGCCGGGAGCGGCTCCCGGGTCAGATTAAATCCCAGGTTTTGAGGGTGATGCAGGTGAGTCCCGTTCCCATCCCGGGATTCCGCCCCAATCCCGGGATTCCCACCGGGAGCGGCTCCAGGGATCGGGCGGATTCCCGGCTTTGAGTCCCGTTCCCATCCCGGGATTCCCACCGGAATTCCCCCGGGAGCGGTTCCCGGGTCCGTGGAAATCCCAGATTTAAGGGTGATACAGGTGATCGATCCCGTTCTGATCCCGGGATAACCACCGGGAGCGGCTCCCGGGATCGGGCAGATTCCCGAGTCCCTGTCCCGATCCCGGGATCCCGCCCGGGAGAGGCTCCAGGAGATCCCGAGGTGTCAGGGGAGATCCAGGTGAGTCCCTGTTCCCATCCCGGGATTCCCACTGGAATTCCCACCGGGAGCGGCTCCGGATCCGTGCAAATCCCAGATTTAAGGGTGATACAGGTGAGTCCCTTTCCCATCCCGGGATTCCGCCCCAATCCCGGGATTCGCACCGGGAGCGGCTCCCGGGTGTGCGGATTCCCGCGTCTGAGTCCCGTTCCCATCCCGGAATTCCCACCGGGAGCGGCTCCCGGGTCCGTGTAAATCCCAGGTTTTGAGGGTGATGCAGGTGAGTCCCGTTCCCATCCCGGGATTCCGCCCCAATCCCGGGATTCCCACCGGGAGCGGCTCCCGGGTGTGCGGATTCCCGCGTCTGAGTCCCGTTCCCATCCCGGGATTCCCGTCGGGATTCCCATCGGCAGCCGCTCCCGGGTCCGTGCAAATCCCAGATTTAAGGGTGATACAGGTAATCCCGTTCTGATCCCGGAATTCCCACCGGGAGCGGCTCCCGGGTCCGTGGAAATCCCAGGTTTTGAGGGTGATGCAGGTGAGTCCCGTTTCCATCCCGGGATTCCGCCCCAATCCCGGGATTCCCGCCGGGAGCGGCTCCCGGGTGTGCGGATTCCCGCGTCTGAGTCCCGTTCCCATCCCGGAATTCCCGCCGGGAGCGGCTCCCGGGATCGGGCGGATTCCCGGCTTTGAGTCCCGTTCCCATCCCGGGATTCCCGCCGGGAGCGGCTCCCGGGTCCGTGGAAATCCCAGGTTTTGAGGGTGATGCAGGTGAGTCCCGTTTCCATCCCGGGATTCCGCCCCAATCCCGGGATTCCCGCCGGGAGCGGCTCCCGGGTGTGTGGATTCCCGCGTCTGAGTCCCGTTCCCATCCCGGAATTCCCGCCGGGAGCGGCTCCCGGGATCGGGCGGATTCCCGGCTTTGAGTCCCGTTCCCATCCCGGGATTCCCACCGGAATTCCCGCCGGGAGCGGCTCCCGGGTCAGATTAAATCCCAGGTTTTGAGGGTGGTGCAGGTGAGTCCCGTTCCCATCCCGGGATTCCCGTCGGGATTCCCATCGGCAGCCGCTCCCGGCTCCGTGCAAATCCCAGATTTAAGGGTGATACAGGTGATCCCGTTCTGATCCCGGGATAACCACCGGGAGCGGCTCCCGGGATCGGGCAGATTCCCGAGTCCCTGTTCCCATCCCGCGATTCCCACCGGAATTCCCACCGGGAGCGGCTCCCGGGTCCGTGGAAATCCCAGATTTAAGGGAGATCCAGGTGAGTCCCGTCCCCATCCCGGGATTCCGCCCCAATCCCGGGATTTCCACCGGGAGCAGCTCCAGGGCTCGTGCGGATTCCCGTGTTTGAGTCCCGTTCCCATCCCGGGATTCCTCTCTTATCCCGAAATTCCCACCGGGAGCGGTTCCCGCTGTGTCGGGGGAGATCCAGGTGAGTCCCGTTCCCATCCCGGGATTCTGCCCCAATCACGGGATTCGCACCGGGAGCGGCTCCCGGGATCGGGCGGATTCCCGGCTTTGAGTCCCGTTCCCATCCCGGGATTCCCACCGGCATTCCCACCGGGCCCGTTCCCGGGTCCGTGCAATTCCCAGGTTTTGAGGGTGATCCAGGTGAGTCCCGTCCCCATCCCGGGATCTCTCCCGGGGAATCGCGGGGATCCGGGTGAGTCCTGTCCTGATCCCGCAATTCCCACCGGGAGCGGCTCCGGGGCCGCGCCTGTTCCCGCTTTTATGGGATTATTCCCGGGGAAGGAGAAGTGGGATTTCCTGGGAATTTGAGCGATTTTCCTGCAGCTTTTCCCATTCCTTTTTCCCTTGGTTTAATTCAACTCCCTGAAAACTGAGATTTTTCCACCCCATTTCCCCCTTTTCAATCCCTTTTCCCCCTTTTCCCCCTTTTCCATCCCTTTTCCACCCCATTTCCTCCTTTCCCCCTTTCCCATCCCTTTTCCATCCCTTTTCCATCCTTTTTCCCCTTTTCCACCCCTTTTCCCCCATTTCCATGGATTCCCCCGTCATTCCCTTTCAGCCCAGTGATGCTGCTGGGATGAAGGGTGGCCTCTCCCACAGAATTCCCTGTTTTTATTCCCAAATCACCCGGAATTACCTTATTTCTTGGAATTCACTCTCACCCTGCTGATATCCCTGACCAGAGACTCGCAGAATTCCTGGTTTTCATTCCCTCCAATTCCCTCTCACTCGGCACTGAGGAACCCTTTTCCCTGGAATTCCCAGATTTCATTCCCAGATTCCCTCATTCCCTCCCATTCCCTCTTGGCACTGAGGATCCCTTTCCCCCAGAATTCCCAGATTTCATTCCCAGATTCCCTCATCCCCTCCCATTCCCTCTTGGCACTGAGGATCCTTTTTCCCCCAGAATTCCCAGATTTCATTCCCAGATTCCCTCATCCCCTCCCATTCCCTCTTGGCACTGAGGATCCCTTTTCCCTGGAATTCCCGGATTTCATTCCCAAATTCCCTCATCCCCTCCCATTCCCTCTTGCACTGAGGATCCCTTTTCCCTGGAATTCCCAGATTTCATTCCCAGATTCCCTCATTCCCTCCCATTCCCTCTTGGCACTGAGGATCCATTTCCCCCAGAATTCCCAGATTCCATTCCCAGATTCCCTCATCCCCTCCCATTCCCTCTCACTCAGCACCGAGGATCCCTTTCCCCTGGAATTCCCAGTTTTCATTCCCAGATTCCCTCATTCCCTCCAATTCCCTCTTGGCACTGAGGATCCCTTTTCCCTGGAATTCCCAGATTTCATTCCCAGATTCCCTCATCCCCTCCCATTCCCTCTTGGCACTGAGGAACCCCTTCCCCTGGAATTCCCGGATTTCATTCCCAGATTCCCTCATTCCCTCCAATTCTCTCTCGGCACTGAGGAACCCTTTCCCCTGGAATTCCCAGATTTCATTCCCAGATTCCCTCATTCCCTCCCATTCTCTCCGGCACTGAGGATCCCTTTCCCCCGGAATTCCCGGATTTCATTCCCAGGTCACTCCGGATTCCCTGATTTACCGGACGCTCCTGAGCTACGATCCCAGCCCCGGCAGCAACCCGGCCATCGTGCGCAGTGACCCGGCCATCATTCCCATTGAGTGCCACTATCCCAGGTTTTCCCGGATCCCATCCCGCGTTCCGGCATTCCCAGGAATCCCATCCCCATCCCAGGATCCCTTCCTGTCATTCCCGGGAATCCCGTTCCCATCCTGGGATCCCATCCCGCATTCCCAGCATTCCCAGGGATCTCATTCCCATCCCAGCATTCCCAGGGATCTCATTCCCATCCCAGCATTCCCAGGGATCTCATTCCCATCCCGGCATTCCCAGGAATCCCATTCCCACCTTTGGATCCTATCCCACATCCTGGCATTCCCAGGAATGCCATTTCCATCCCAAGATCCCTTCCTGCCATTCCTGGTAATCCCATTCCCATCCTAAATCCCATACCACTTTCCCAGCATTCCCAGGAATCCCATTCCCATCCCAGATCCCATTCCATGTTCCCAGTGTCCCTATTCCTGTCCCAATGTCCCCATTCCCAGTGTCCCCGTGCCCAGTGTCCCCAGCCCCATCCCAGTGTCCCATTCCCAATCCTATTCCCGATCCCATTCCCAATCCCATTCCTGATCCTATTCCTGATCCCATTTCCTTTTCCAGGCAGGATAACATCTTCAGTGTCCCATTCCCAGTGTCCTATTCCCAGTGTCCTATTCCTGATCCCATTCCTGATCCCATTCCCGATCCCATTCCCAGTGTCCCATTCCCGATCCCATTCCCAATCCCATTCTGATCCCATTCCCAATCCATTTCCTGATCCCTTTCCCAATCCCATTCCAGATCCCATTCCCAATCCTTTTCCCGATCCCATTCCCAATCCCATTCCCTTTTCCAAGCAGGATAACATCTGCAGTGGCTCCCCATTCCCAGTGTCCCATTCCCAGTGTCCCATTCCCAGTGTCCCATTCCCAGTGTCCCATTCCTGGTCCCATTCCTGATCCCATTCCCGATCCTTTTCCCGATCCCATTCCCGATTCCATTCCCGATCCCATTCCCTTTTCCAGGCAGGATAACGTCTCCCATGTCCCATTCTCAGTGTCCCATTCCCGATCCCATTCCCAATCCGTTCCCTGTTCCAGGTGGGATAACATCTCCAGTGTCCCCAATCCCATTCCTGATCCCATTCCCGATCCCATTCCCAATCCCATTCCCAATCCGTTCCCTTTTCCAGGCGGGATAACCTCTCCTGTATCCCATTCCCAATCACATTCCTGTTCCCATTCCTGATCCCATGCCCATTCCCATCCCCATTCCCAATCCCAGTCCCATTCCCAATCCCATTCCCATTCCCATTCCCATTCCCATTCCCATTCCCATTCCCGATCCCATTCCCGACCTGTCCCTGTTCCAGGCGGGAAAACGTCTCCAGCGGCTCCATCCGTCCCACCTGGGCCCCCTTTAACTCCGCGTTGGCCTCCCAGGAGAAGCTCCTGTTCTCCCTGCGCCTCATGAACGGTGCGGGATCCGCGTTTTCCGCCTTCTCCCCTTTCCCGTCCCTCTTCCGTCCCTTTTCCATCCCCTTTTCCCCTTTCCCATCCCTCTTCCGTCCCTTTTCCATCCCTTTTCCCCTTTCCTGCCCCTCTTCCGTCCCTTTTCCATCCCTTTTCCCCTTTCCCGTCCCTCTTCCGTCCCTTTTCCATCCCCTTTTCCCCTTTCCCGTCCCTCTTCCGTCCCTTTTCCATCCCTTTTTCCCCTTTCCCGTCCCTCTTCCATCCCTTTTCCCTTTCCCCCATTTCTCCATCCCCTTTTCCTCCTTTCCCATCCCTTTTCTCCTTTCCCCCCTTTCCCCCATTTCTCCATCCCCTTTCCCCAATTTTTGATCCCATTCCCATCCCTTTCCGCCCCGTTTTCCCTTTTTGGGATCGCTTTGAGGTTGATTCCATTGGATTTTCCCGAGGACCGGAGCTCTGAGAGGGTCTTTTCAGGATTCCCCCTTTTCCATCCCTTTTCCCCCTTTCCCTTATTTCCCCATCCCCTTTTCCCCCTTTTCCATCCCTTTTCCCCTTTCCCTTATTTCCCCATCCCCTTTTCCCCCTTTTCCATCCCTTTCCCACCTGTTTTCCCTTTTTGGGATCACTTTGGGGCTGATCCCATTGGATTTTCGTAAGACTGGAGCTCTGAGTAGGATTTTTTGGGATTTCCCCCTTTCCCATCCCTTTTCCTATTTTGGGGTGGCTTTGGGGTTGATCCCGTAGGGTTTTCCAGTGGACTGGAGCTCTGAGCGGGATTTCTCAGGATTTCCCCTTTCCCATCCCTTTTCCCATTGGGTTTTCCATAGGATTGGAGCTCAGAGATGGATTTTTTGGGATTTCCCATTCTTTTTCCCGTGGGGTTTTCCAGAGGACTGGAACTTGGGGCAGGATTTTTTGGGATTTCCTCATTCCCATTCTTTTTCCCGTGGGGTTTTCCAGAGCACTGGAACTTGGGGCAGGATTTTTTGGGATTTCCCCATTCCCATCCCTTTTCCCCTTTTGGGGTGGCTTTGGGGTTGATCCCATGAGGTTTTCCAGAGCACTGGAGCTCGGAGCGAGATTTTTTTGGGATCTCCCCATTCCCATCCCTTTTCCAGAGGACTGGAGCTCCGAGCGGGATTTTTCGGGATTTCCCCTTTCCCATCCCTTTTCCCATTGGGTTTTCCATAGGATTGGAGCTCAGAGATGGATTTTTTTGGGATTTCCTCATTCCCATTCTTTTTCCCATGGGGTTTTCCAGAGGAATTTTTTGGGATTTCCCCATTCCCATCCCTTTTCCCCTTTTGGGGTGGCTTTGGGGTTGATCCCATGGGGTTTTCCAGAGCACTGGAGCTCAGAGCGGGATTTTTTTGGGATTTCCCCATTCCCATCCCTTTTCCAGAGGACTAGAGCCCCGAGCGGGATTTTTCGGGATTTCCCCTTTCCCATCCCTTTTCCTGTTTTGGGATCATTTTGGGGATTTTCCCATTGGGTTTTCCATAGGATTGGAGCTCAGAGATGGATTTTTTTGGGATTTCCTAATTCCCATTCTTTTTCCCATGGGGTTTTCCAGAGGAATTTTTTGGGATTTCCCCATTCCCATCCCTTTTCCAGAGGACTGGAGCTCCGAGCGGGATTTTTCGGGATTTCCCCTTTCCCATCCCTTTTCCCATTGGGTTTTCCATAGGATTGGAGCTCAGAGATGGATTTTTTGGGATTTCCTCATTCCCATTCTTTTTCCTGTGGGGTTTTCCAGAGGACTGGAGCTCGGAGCAGAATTTTTTGGGATTTCCCCATTCCCATCCCTTTTCCCCTTTTGGGGTGGCTTTGGGGTTGATCCCGTGGGGTTTTCCAGAGCTCTGGAGCTCGGAGCGGGATTTTTTTGGGATTTCCCCATTCCCATCCCTTTTCCAGAGCACTGGAGCTCGGAGTGGGATTTTTTGGGATTTCCCCATTCCCATCCCTTTTCCAGAGGACTGGAGCTCCGAGCGGGATTTTTTGGGATTTCCCCTTTCCCAACCCTTTTCCTGTTTTGGGATCATTTTGGGGATGATCCCATTGGATTTTCCAGAGGACTGGAGCTTGGACTGGGATTTCTCAGGGCTCCCTATTTCCCATCCCTTTCTCATCCCTTTTCCCCTTTTGGGGTGGCTTTGGGGTTGATCCCATGAGGTTTTCCAGAGCACTAGAGCTTGGAGCGGGATTTTTTTGGGATTTCTCCATTCCCATCCCTTTTCCAGAGCACTGGAGCTCGGAGCGGGATTTTTTGGGATTTCCCCATTCCCATCCCTTTTCCAGAGGACTGGAGCTTGGAGTGGGTTTTTCGGGATTTCCCCTTTCCCATCCCTTTTCCTGTTTTGGGATAATTTTGGGGTTGATCCCATGGGGTTTTCCAGAGCCCTGGAGCTTGGAGCGGGGTTTTTTTGGGATTTCCCCATTCCCATCCCTTTTCCAGAGCACTGGAGCTCGGAGTAGGATTTTTTTGGGATCTCCCCATTCCCATCCCTTTTCCAGAGGACTGGAGCTCGGAGCGGGACCTCTCGGCGTTCCGCCTGGGGGACGTGCTGAACCTCCAGGCCGAGGTGGGCGCCCACAGCCACGTCCCCCTGCGCCTCTTCGTCGACTCCTGCGTGGCCACCCTGGGCCCCGGCGCCGGCAGCGAGCCGCACTACGCCATCATCGACTTCAACGGGTGCGCCCGCGGCGGGGACGGCTGGGGACAGCTGGGGACAGCTGGGGATGGTTGAGGACAGCTGGGGACGTTTGGGGGCATCTTGGGACATCTCTGGATATTTGAGGACATCTGGGGTCATGGGGAGGGTGGCAGCTCATCCTGTCCCACTACGCCATCATCGACTTCAACGGGTGCGCCCGCGGCGGGGACGGCTGGGGACAGCTGGGGACATCTGGGGATGTTTGGGGGCGTCTTGGGACATCTCTGGATATTTGAGGACATCTGGGGACGCTCTGGGGTCATGGGGAGGGTGGCAGCTCATCCCGCCCCACTGCGCCATCATCGACTTCAACCGATGTGCCGGACACAGCTGGGGACATCTGGTGACATTTGGGGATGGTTGGGGACGTCTGGGGACATTTGGGGATAATTTGGGGACGTTTGGAGACATTTGGGGATGTCTGGGGACATTTGGGGATAATTTGGGGACTTTTGGGGACATTTGGGGACATTTGGGATGGTTGGGGACATCTGGGGACATTTGGGGATAATTTGGGGATGTTTGGGGACAGCTGGGGACATCTGTTGACATTGGGGATGTTTGGGGACATCTGGGGACATCTGGGGACAGCTGGGGATAATTTGGGGATGGTTGGGGACATTTGGAGACATCTGAGGACATTTGTGGACTTTTGGGGATGTTGGGGGACATCTGGGGACATTTGGGGGTGTTTGGGGATGGTTGGGGACATCTGGGGACAGCTGGGGACATCTGGGGGTGTTTGGGGACATTTGGGGACATCTGGGGATGTTTGGGGATGTTTTTTGGGGCAAATTTGGGGACGTTTGGGGTCATCTGGGGATGGTTGGGGACATTTGGGGATGTTTGGGGATGTTTGGGGACATCTGGGGACATCTGGGGACACAGTCGAGGGTGGTGATACCTCACTGTGCTGTCAGTGACTTCAACGGGAGGGCTGGGGATGTTTGGGGACAATTTGGGGTGAGGGACACTGTCAGGGGTTGGTGACTCCTCGTCCCTCCCCACTGCTCCATCATTGACTTCAGCCGGTGACTTTAGGGACATTTGGGGACATTTGGGGGCATTTGGGGACATTTGGGGACATTTGGGGTTGTTTTAGGGTCAGGGGGAGGGTGGCTCTGCATCCTGCCCCACTACACCCTCATCAACTTCAACAGGTGAGTTTGGGGACATCTGGGGACGTTTGGGGACAATTTGGGGACAATTTGGAGTCTGGGGACACCCAGCAGTGCTGAGCCCTTGTCACTTCCCTGGCCGATCTGGGGACACTTGGGGACACAGCGGTGCCAGCTGGGGCTGTGACTCCACTGTCCCCATGGCTGTGACCCTGTTCCTGTGGTGTGACCCCACTGTCCCCATGGCTGTGACCCCACTGTCCCTGTGGTGTGACTCTGTCCCCATGGCTGTGACCCTGTTCCTGTGGTGTGACCCCACTGTCCCTGTGGTGTGACACTGTCCCTGTGGTGTGACCACACTGTCCCCATGGCTGTGACCCCGCTGTCCCCCTGTCTGTGACCCTGCTGTCCCCGTGTCTGTGACCCCACTGTCCCCTTGATGTGACCCCACTGTCCCCTTGATGTGACCCCTCTGTCCCTGTGGTGTGACTCTGTCCCCATGGCTGTGACCCTGCTGTCCCCATGGCTTTGACCCCGCTGTCCCCAAGGTGTGACCCTATCACCACGTCTGTGACCCCGCTGTCCCCATGGCTGTGACCCCGCTGTCCCCGTGGCTGTGACCCCGCTGTCCCCATGGCTGTGACCCCGCTGTCCCCGTGGCTGTGACCCCGCTGTCCCCGTGTCTGTCACCCTGCTGTCCCCGTGTGTGTCACCCCGCTGTCCCCGTGTCTGTGACCGCGCTGTCCCCGTGTCTGTCACCCTGCTGTCCCCGTGTGTGTCACCCCGCTGTCCCCGTGTCTGTGACCGCGCTGTCCCCGTGTCTGTCACCCTGCTGTCCCCGTGTCTGTGACCCCGCTGTCCCCGTGTCTGTGACCCCGCTGTCCCCATGGATGTGACCCCGCTGTCCCCAAGGTGTGACCCTATCACCACGTCTGTGACCCCGCTGTCCCCATGGCTGTGACCCTGCTGTCCCCGTGTCTGTCACCCTGCTGTCCCCGTGTCTGTGACCCCTCTGTCCTCATGGATGTGACCCTGTTGTACCCATGGCTGTGACCCTGTCCCCATGTCTGTCACCCTTCTGTCCCCATGGATGTGACCCTGCTGTCCCTGTGTCTGTGACCCCGCTGTCCCCGAGGTGTGACCCTGTCACCATGTCTGTGACCCCGCTGTCCCCGTGTCTGTGACCCCGCTGTCCCCGTGTCTGTGACCCCGCTGCCCCCGTGTCTGTCACCCCGCTGTCCCCGCGGTGACACCGCGCTGTCCCCACAGCTGCCTGGTGGACGGGCGCTCGGATGCCACCAGCTCGGCCTTTGTCACCCCGCGGCCGCGGCAGGACGTGCTGCGCTTCCAGATCGACGCCTTCCGCTTCGCCGGGGACCCGCGCAGCCTGGTAACGCCTGGGGACACCGCGGGGACACCGCGGGGACACCGCTGTCCCCGGCCCTGCCGCTGGCCCCGCGGTGTCCCCAGCAGTGTCTCCTGGCGCAGATCTACATCACGTGTCACCTGAAGGTGACGCCGGCCGAGCAGAGCCCCGACGCGCTCAACAAGGCCTGTTCCTTCAGCAAGGCGCGCAACGCGTGAGTGCCACCTCCCCATGGCACCCCACAGTGTCACCTCGGCAGTGTCACCTCCCCCATGGCACCTCCCCGTGGCACCCCACAGTGTCACCTCGGCAGTGTCATCTCCCCCATGGCACCTCCCCAGTGTCACCTCGGCAGTGTCACCTCCCCCATGGCACCTCCATGGTGTCACCACTATGGTGGCACCTCCATGGTGTCATCTCTGCGTGGCACCTCCCTGGTGGCACCTCCATGGTGCCACCTCCCTGGTTTCACCTCCATGGTGGCACCTCCCCATGCCACCTCCCCAGTGTCACCTCCCCCATGGCATATCCCTGGTGGCACCTCCATGGTGGCACCTCCCCCATGGTACCTTCGTGGTGTCACCTCCCCAGTGTCACCTCCCCCATGGCACCTCCATGGTGTCACCTCGATGGTGTCATCTCTGTGTGGCACCTCCATGGTGGCACCTCCATGGTGGCACCTCCCCACTGTCAACTCCGAGTGGCACCTCCACAGTGTTACCTCCCCCATGGCACCTCCCCAGTGTCACCTCGGCAGTGTCACCTTCCCGGTGTCACCTCCCCATGGCATATCCCTGGTGGCACCTCCATGGTGGCACCTCCCCCATGGTACCTTCGTGGTGTCACCTCCCCAGTGTCACCTCCCCCATGGCACCTCCATGGTGTCACCTCCATGGTGTCATCTCTGTGTGGCACCTCCTGGTGTCACCTCCATGGTGACACCTCCCCATGCCACCTCCCCAGTGTCACCTTCCCCACGGCATATCCCTGGTGGCACCTACCCAGTGTCAACTCCGAGTGGCACCTCCACGGTGTCACCTCCCCCATGGCACCTCCACGGTGTCACCTCACTCATGGCATCTCCGTGGTGTCACCTCCCCAGTGTCACCTCCCCATGGCACATCCCTGGTGGCACCTCCCCGGTGTCACCTCGGCAGTGTCACCTTCCCAGTGTCACCTCCCCCATGGTACCTTTGTGGTGTCACCTCCCCAGTGTCACCTCCCTCATGGCACCTCCATGGTGTCACCTCCCCGGTGTCACCTCCATAGTGTCATCTCTGTGTGGCATCTCCCCAGTGTCACCTCCGACATGGCACATCCCTGGTGGCACCTCCCCAGTGTCACCTCCCTGGTGTCACCTCCATGGTGTCATCCCTGTGTGTCACCTCCCCGGTGTCACCTGCCCGCCCCGGTGGCCGCGGCTGACGGTGTCACCTCCCCGTGCAGCTGGGCGCCCGTGGAGGGGACAAGGGACATCTGCAGCTGCTGTGAGCGGGGCAACTGCGGCCAGCGGCCACCACAGCCCTGGGACGGCCACCGCCACCGCAGGGACGACGGGCACGGTGAGGGGACAGCCGGGGACAGCTGGGGACAGACAGGGACAGCTGGGGACAGCCGGGGACAGCCGGGGACACTGGGGGTACCAGGGACAGGGGGACATCATGGAGACATCATGGGGATGTCATGGGGACATCATGGGAACATCATGGGGACATGAGGACAGGGGGACATCATGGGGACATCATGGGGACTGGGGGACATGGTGACAGGGGGACATCATGGGGACATCATGGGGATATCATGGGGCCATGGGGACATCATGGGGACATCATGGGGACAGTGGGACATGGGGACGGGGGGACATGAGGACATCATGGGGACGTCATGAGGACAGTGGGACATGGGGACAGTGGGATGTGGGAATAGGGGGACAGTGGGACATGGGGACTTCATGGGGACATCATGAGGACAGTGGGACATGGGGACAGTGGGACGCCGGGATAGGGGGGACAGTGGGGCAGGGGGACATGAGGACATCATGGGGACATCATGGGGACAGTGGGACATGGGGATGGGGGACATGGGGACATCATGGGGACATCATGAGGACAGTGGGACATGGGGACAGTGGGACGTGGGGATAGGGGGACAGTGGGATAGGGGGACATGGGGACCTCATGGGGACATCATGGGGACAGGGGGACCATGGGGGTGGGGTGATCGCTCCTCACTGTCCCTCATTGTCCCTTGTCCCTTGTCCTCACTGTCCCCATGTCCCTCACTGTCCCCACGTCCCTCCCTGTCCTCACTGTCCCTCACTGTCCCTCACTGTCCCCACGCCCCTCCCTGTCCCCGCTGTCCCCAGGTGCCACCTCTGAAGCTGACGTTGTCATCGGTCCCGTGCTGCTCTCGAGTGCCCAGCAAGGCCAGCGCCCCGAGGGCCACCAGGGTGAGTGACACCGGTGACACCGGTGACATTGGGTGACACTGTATGACACTGGGTGACACTGGGTGACACTGAGTGACATCAGGTGGCACTGGGTGACACTGGTGACACAGGGTGTACTGTGTCACACCAGGTGACACTGGGTGCCAACCCCCACTCCCCCCGTGTCACTCGGTGTCCCTTGGCAGGCGCGGTGACACCGCTGGCCCTGGGGACAGCGCTGGCCTGCGCCGTGGCCACCGTGGCTGCGGCCGGAGCCGTGCTGGCCATCGGCCTCAGGCGCCGCAATTCCCGATAAAGCCCGGAAATCCCAAAAAATCCCACGAGCATCGGTGGAAATCCCAAAAAATCCCACAAGGATCGATGGAAATCCCAAAAATCCCACAAAGATCAATGGAAATCCCAAAAAAATCCCACGAGCATCGATGGAAATCCCGATAAACCCCGGAATGACTGACGGAAATCCCAAAAAACCCCAAAATGAGAGATGGAAATCCCAAAAAATCCCACAAGGACCAACAGAAATCCCAAAAGGATCGATAGAAATCCCAACAAATCCCACAAAGACCAATGGAAATCCCAATGAATCTCACAAGGATCAATGGAAATCCCAATAAATCCCGCAAGGATCAATGGAAATCCCAATAAATTCTGCAAGGATCAATGGAAATCCCAACAAATCTCACAAGGATCAATGGAAATCCCAATAAATCCCACAAGGACCAATGGAAATCCCAATAAATCCCTCAAGGATCAATGGAAATCCCAATAAATTCCTCAAGGATCGATGGAAATCCCAATAAATCCCACAAGGATCAATGGAATTCCCAATAAATCCCTCAAGGATCAATGGAAATCCCAATAAATCCCCCAAGGATCAATGGAAATCCCAACAAATCCCCCAAGGATCAATGGAAATCCCAATAAATCCCACAAGGACTGATGGAAATCCCAATAAATCCCACAAGGATCAATGGAAATCCCAATAAATCCCACAAGGATCAATGGAATTCCCAACAAATCCCACAAGGATCAATGGAAATCCCAACAAATCCCACAAGGATCGATGGAAATCCCAATAAATCTCACAAGGATCAATGGAAATCCCAATAAATCCCACAAGGATCAATGGAAATCCCAATAAATTCTGCAAGGATCAATGGAAATCCCAATAAATCCCACAAGGACCAATGGAAATCCCAATAAATCCCACAAGGATCAATGGAAATCCCAATAAATCCCACAAGGATCAATGGAAATCCCAATAAATTCTGCAAGGATCAATGGAATTCCCAATAAATCCCACAAGGACCGATGGAAATCCCAATAAATCCCACAAGGACCCGCGGTGTCCGAGGGGTCACTCTGGGGGGTATCCCGGGAATGGGGCAGGGAGGGTGACCAGTCCCGTCCCAGTGTCCCCAGTCCTGTCCCAGTGTCCCCAGTCCCGTCCCAGTGTCCCCAGTCCTGTCCCAGTGTCCCCATCCCTATCCCGATGTCCCCAATCCCAATGTCCCCATTCCCACTGTCCCCATTCCCTTCCCAGTATCCCAGTTCCCAGTGTCCCCATCCTAATGTCCCCAATCCCAATCCCAGTGTCCCCATTCCATCCCACTGTCCCCATTCCCGTCCCAGTGTCCCTATTCCCAATGTCTCCAATCCCAGTGTCTCCTTTCCCATTCCCAATGTCCCCAGTCCCATTCCCAGTGTCCCCAATCCCAGTGTCCCCAATCCCAGTGTCCCCATTCCAATCCCAATATTTCCATTCCTGGTGCCTCCATTTCCGATGTCCCCATTTCTGTCCCTGTGTCCCCATTCCCAATGTCCCCAATCCTAATGTCCCCATTCCCATCCCAGTGTCCCCATTCCCAATGTCCCTATTTCCCAATGTCCCCATTCCCAATGTCCCCATTCCCAGTGTTCCCATCCTAATGTCCCCATTCCCAATGTCCCAAATCCTGTCCCAGTGTCCCCAATCCCAGTGTCCCTATTCCCATTCCCACTGTCCCCAGTCCCATCTCAATGTCCCCAATCCCAGTGTCCCCAATCCCAATATCCCCAATCCAATCCCAATGTCCCCAGTCCCATCTCACTGTCCCCAATCCCAATGTCCCCAATCCCATCCCAACGTCCCCAATCCCATCCCAATGTCCCCATTCCCGTCCCCGTGTCCCTATTCCCAATGTCCCCAATCCCAGTGTCTCCTTTCCCATTCCCAATGTCCCCAGTCCCATTCCCAGTGTCCCCAATCCCATCCCAATGTCCCTATCCCATTCCCAGTGTCCCCAATCCCAGTGTCCCCAATCCCAGTGTCCCCAATCCCAGTGTCCCCATCCCAATCCCTATATTTCCATTCTCAGTGCCTCCATTTCCGATGTCCCCATTCCTGTCCCTGTGTCCCCATTCCCAGTGTCCCCAATCCCATCCCAATGTCACCAATCCCTAAATTCCCAGTGTCCCCATTCCCAGTGTCCCCAATCCTAATGTCCCCATTCCCATCCCAGTGTCCTCATTCCCAATGTCCTCATTCCTGTCCCAGTGTCCTCATTCCCAATGTCCCCATTCCCACTGTCCCCATTCCCAGTGTTCCCATCCTAATGTCCCCATTCCCAATGTCCCAAATCCTGTCCCAGTGTCCCCAGTCCCAGTGTCCCTATTCCCATTCCCAATGTCCCCATTCCCAATGTCCCCAATCCCAGTGTCCCCAGTCCCACTGTCAGCAGTCCCATCCTGATGTCCCCATTCCCAACGTCCCCAATCCCATTCCCACTGTCCCCAATCCCAATCCCAGTGTCCCCAATCCCAATGTCCCAAATCCTGTCCCAGTGTCCCCAATCCCAGTGTCCCTATTCCCATTCCCAATGTCCCCAATCCAATCCCAATGTCCCCAATCCCATCTCAATGTCCCCATTCCCAACGTCCCCAATCCCAGTGTCCCCAATCCCAGTGTCCCTATTCCCATTCCCACTATCCCCAGTCCCATCTCAATGTCCCCAATCCCATCTCAGTGTCTCCATTCCCAACGTCCCCAATCCCATTCCCAACATCCCCATTCCCATCTCACTGTCCCCAATCCCAATGTCCCCAATCCCATCCCAATGTCCCCATTCCCAACGTCCCCAATCCCATTCCCAACATCCCCATTCCCATCTCACTGTCCCCAATCCCAATGTCCCCAATCCCATCCCAATGTCCCCATTCCCGACCCCATTCCCAGCCCAAAAATTCCCAAATCCCAACTTCCGCTCTCTCCGGCTTTATTAAAGGCGGGAAAGCAGAAAAATTCCCTAAAAAAAAAAATTATGGGATTTCCCTCCCCAAATTCCCGGAGCTGTTTCCTTCCCCAATTTGGGGACGTTCCCAAAAATCCCCGAGGATTTGTAGGATCACGAGGATTTTCTGGAGCATTTTGAGGTTCCTGCTTTGATTCCAGTCTTGGATTCCGTTGGGAAATGGGGGAAAAACCGGGAAAAACGGGAAAATTCGGGATAAAAAAGATTCCAAAGAGTCCTCGTGGTCTCCCCGCTTTTTATTGGGAAAAGGAATTTTGGGAACGCAGCGGAGCCACCTCGGGAACATCCCGGGAAAGGGGACGGGCGACGTGTCTGGGGTCCAGCTGCCATCAGGATCTGCGGGAAAATCCCACAAAATTCCGTGGGAAATGGGGAAAATCCCAATTCCTGCCCCAAATCCCAAAAAATTCCATGGGAAAGGAGGGAAATCCCAAATCCCATAAAATTCTGTGGAAAAGGAAGAAAAAACCAACCCCAAATGGGCAAATCCCAGGAAATCCCTTGGAAAAGGAGCAAAGTCCCAATTCCTGCCCCAAATCCCAGAAAATTCCATGGGAAATGGGGAAAAGCCCAAATCCCACCCCAAATCCCAGAAAATTCCATGGGAAATGGGGAAAATCCCAATTACTGCTCCAAATTCCAGAAAAATCTGTGGGAAATGGGAAAAATCCCAAATCCCACCCCAAATCCCAGAAAATTCCATGGGAAATGGGGAAAATCCCAAATCCCACCCCAAATCCCAGAAAATTCCATGGGAAATGGGGAAAATCCCAATTACTGCTCCAAATTCCAGAAAAATCTGTGGGAAATGGGAAAAATCCCAAATCCCACCCCAAATCCCAGAAAATTCCATGGGAAATGGGGAAAATCCCAAATCCTGCTCCAAATTCCAGAAAAATCTGTGGGAAATGGGAAAAATCCCAAATCCCACCCCAAATCCCAGAAAATACTGTGGGAAATTTGGAAAACCCCAAATCCTGATTTTTTTCCCTGACCTCCACCACCAAAAACAGCCCCAGAAAAAAGGAAAAAAAGTGGGAAAAAAGCAGGAAAAAGTGGGAAAAAGTGGGAAAAAAGCAGGAAAAAGTGGGAAAATTTGGGACAAAAAGGGAAAAGTTGGGGAAAAATGGAAAAATTGGGGGGAAAAGGAGAAATTTGGGGGAAAAAGCAGGGAAAAAACGGGGAAAGAGAGGAAAAAGGGGAAAAGTTGGGAAACTGGAACAATGGGGTTTTTTGGGGATCAGGGGTTTTGGGATCAGGGATTTTTGGGGCCAGGGCTCTTTTGGGGTGGTTTTGGGGCCGTTTTGGGGCGGTTTTGGGGCCGTTTTGGGGCGGTTTTGGGGCCGTTTTGGGGTCGGGGTTTTTTAGGATCAGGGCTGTTTTGGGGTCAAGGATTTTAGGATCAGGGATTTTGGGATCAGGGATTTTTAGGGTCGGGGCCATTTTGGGGTGCTTTTGGGGCCATTTTGGGGCCATTTTGGGGCGGTTTTGGGGTCGAGGTTTTTTAGGATCAGGGATTTTGGGATCAGGGGTTTTTAGGGTCGGGGCCATTTTGGGGCAGTTTTGGGGCCGTTTTGGGGTCAAGGTTTTTTAGGATCAGGGATTTTAGGACCAGGGATTTTGGGATCAGGTCTGTTTTGGGGTTGGGGCCGTTTAGGGGCCGTTTTGGCGTTGGGGTTTTTTAGGATCAGGGATTTTGGGATCCGGGATTTTTAGGTTTGGGGCTATTTTGGGGTGGTTTTGTCGCTGTTTTGGGGTCGGGGTTGTTTAGGATCAGGGATTTTAGGATTAGGGATTTTAGGATCAGGGATTTTAGGATCAGGGCTGTTTAGGGCTCAGGGATTTTAGGATCAGGGCCATTTTGGGATCGGGGATTTTTAGGGTTGTGGCTGTTTTGGGGTCAGGGCTGGTTTAGGATCAGGGATCTTTTGGGCTCAGGGATTTTAGAATGAGAGATTTTGGGATCAGGGATTTTTGGGGTTGGGGCCATTTTGGGGCAGTTTTGGGGCCGTTTTGGGGCCATTTTGGGGTCAAGGTTTTTTAGGATCAGGGATTTTAGGACCAGGGATTTTGGGATCAGGTCTGTTTTGGGGTTGGGGCCGTTTTGGGGCCGTTTTGGGGCCGTTTTGGGGTCGGGGTTTTTTAGGATCAGGGATTTGGGGATCAGGGATTTTTAGGGTTGGCGCTATTTTGGGGTGGTTTGGGGGCTATTTTGGGGTGGTTTTGGGGCTGTTTTGGGGTCAGGGCTGTTTAGGATCAGGGATTTTAGGATCAGAGGTTTTGGGATCTGAGATTTTGGGATCAGGGATTTTTGGAGTTGGGGCTGTTTTGGGGCTGCTTTGGGGTCATTTTGGGGTTGGTTTTTTGGCTGTTTTGGGGTGGTTTTGGGGCAGTTTTGGGGCCATTTTGGGGAGGTTTTGGGGCCGTTTTGGGGTCGGGGTTTTTTAGGATCAAGGATTTGGGGATCAGAGATTTTTAGGGTTGGCGCTATTTTGGGGTGGTTTTGTGACTGTTTTGGGGTCAGGATTGTTTAGAATCAGGGATTTTAGGATTAGGGATTTTAGGACCAGGGATTTTAGGATCAGGGCTGTTTAGGGCTCAGGGATTTTAGGATCAGGGCCATTTTGGGATCGGGGATTTTTAGGGTTGTGGCTGTTTTGGGGTCAGGGCTGTTTTAGGATCAGGGATCTTTTGGGCTCAGGGATTTTAGAATGAGAGATTTTGGGATCAGGGATTTTTGGGGTCAGGGCCATTTTGGGGCGGTTTTGGGGCCGTTTTGGGGTCAGGGTTTTTTAGGATCAGGGATTTTGAGACCAGGGATTTTGGGATCAGGTCTGCTTTGGGGTTGGGGCCGTTTTGGGTCCGTTTTGGGGTCGGGGTTTTTTAGGATCAGGGATTTTTAGGGTCGGGGCCATTTTGGGGTGCTTTTGGGGCCATTTTGGGGTGGTTTTGGGGTCGAGGTTTTTTAGGATCAGAGCTGTTTAGGGCTCAGGGATTTTTGGATCAAGGTCATTTTGG